CTCAGGAAGTCTTTTCTATCTCACCAGATGAAGGTTATAGATCAAGTACTTGTCAAGTTGATCTGCACTGATGTACTATAGCTACCATTACATGACAAACAGGGAAGTCTAGCAGTAAATTATCTCAGCAGGAACAAGGAAATCTAAACACATCAATTTAAAGTCTCTCTCTGGAACTATTTTTATTTTTTATTTAATCTCTAAAACCTCATGTAAATCAAAATTGAAAATATCTACCAAAATAATTGTAAAGAATAATGGTTCTGTTGAAATAATTCACAAAGTGATAAATTCAAAACTCATTTCAAAAATTTAAGTGTATGCAAAAAAAAAAAATGTTTTTGGAAGCATTTCTTGATAAAGTTCTTATAAGGTAAATTTTGATAACTTTCTTTACTTTTATTTCTGTAAAATTGAAATGTTCTATAGTTTGTACTTGAATGTTGCTCTGAACTTCCCATGTTTATAAAGGAGGTAAAAAGGAAACAAAAAAAGTGCTTCCCTATCAAGTCTCTCCGAATTATTTTTCAGGCAGGAAGTGATTTTAATCAACCAATGGGATTGACCTAATTTCAATCTGAGGGTAAGGTCTAATGTTACAGGAAGCCAGCATTTCAATACATGGAATGACAGTTATGAAAACAAACATCACAGTAGTTTGTTATTGGTTTCCACTAAATCAAACATATGGCTTCAAAACATTGAAGCAAATTCTCCCCAAACCCTTCACAAATTACAATGATATTAAACCTAGCACTAAACTTGTTGCTGGCCTCTCCGGAAATTCTACAATTCTGTAGATCTGCACGCTCAGGCTATATGGCTTCTCAACTTAAGGTTTCACTTCCTAACTTAATATTTGGAATGAAAACTAGGAGTGAAGAAGAAGTTTGGGGAGAGGGCAATGTATTGCGAGATGATGGGAGGAGAGGGGGAGGGAGGTGAGGGAGGAGGTGATAGATGAGTAAGGAGGGAAGCAGGAGATTAGAGGACTAAAAGGGAGGGGTATGGCCGATAAAAGGTACAGGGATGGAGGTGCATGGAGGGGATGGAAAGTAGCAGAAATAAAGGAGGATGAGGGGGAGAAGGAAAGAAAGTATGAGCGATTGGCAGGAAAGGGAAAGGGGGGAATGGGAACGAGATGGTGGTGAGGGGAAGGGAAAGGGAGAAGAGATGGAACGGGGTGAATGGATAGGGGGAGGAATAATGGTGAGGGGTAGGTGGAGGAGGATATTGGTGAATTGAGTACAGGGGCAGACGTTAAGATGAGTAGGTTAAATGAGGGTACAAGCTAGAGGAGCCGATTGGATGGAAGGATAGGAGGAGAAGGGGATAGGATAGAAAGATAGGAGGTGAAGAGGGTAGGATAGAAGGATAGGATGAAAAGAGGATAGGAGGAGAAGGATAGGAGGAAAAGAGGGTAGGATAGAAGGATAGGAGGAAAAGAGGGTAGGATAGAAGGATAGGAGGAGAAGGGGGTAGGAGGAGAAGAGGATAGGAGGAGAAGAGGGTAGGATAGAAGGATAGGAGGAAAAGAGGGTAGGATAGAAGGATAGGAGGAGAAGAGGGTAGGATAGAAGGATAGGATGAGAAGAGGGTAGGATGAGAAGAGGGTAGGATTGCAGTTGGGAAATAACAGGGATGTAAGTGGTGTTTAATCACATGAGTAAATATACCCTAGTTATGAGTGCCACAAAAATTCTGTTTACTGTAGCTTATAAAGAAAATTTATTTTGTATGTTTCGACTACAACAAGCTGTCAAGCTTAAATATCAAACCCTGTTTAAGACTGTTTAGTGTGTCAAAACAAGTCAGCGTTGTCATCAATACTGCCGATCACCTTCAAGTGGATGCTGTCCAGTCATCTTTACTGTCGAACTTGAAAAGTGTTCATAAGACACGGATGCCCCAGCTCTGATGCAAAGTGATGCAATGGTTTGACAAAATTCATTAGATATATCAGTAACCTTTGACCTTGGAACCCTGAAATAGAAACTCGTTAAGGGTATTTTCATACTTTTGTAAAGATTTAATAAAAGTCTGTTTAGAAATAAAGTTGCAAGAGTGATGAAACTGGATTGGTTGACAAATTTCTATGATTAGTAACGATGACCTTGACATAGACCTTGGATTTTTGAATAAAAGCTCTTGATAACACTGAATCAGGACAAGACAATTCTGGACAGACACTATGTGCCATATGGTCCCTGCAGGTAGGGCGTAAGAATTGTACCTACTGCCCCCATTGCATGATCATAAAAGGTGACTTAACTTGGGATCTTATCTTTTCTCTTCTTTCTAAACAACTTTCTTATTCCTAATGTCTCCCTTGACACTGCCTCACTTTTGGCCTTTAGGTGAGCGTTCGCCCCTGTGAAGAAGGCTTTTTGGGAATGGGACAAACACGAACATATCGCAGCCTCCCAAAACACAGGCATACACTACAAGTAGGCATCTTGCACACGAGGGATCCGAGGCCGTCCTTAAATGACCATAGCTGTTGATAGGGCGTTAAACAATACAACCCCCCCCCCCCCCCTTCCAAAAAAAAGCAAAGGTAAAACATAAATGTTCAAAATCTCATCTAAACTCATTTTTACTTATTCAAACATTTAAATCTATCTGAAAACTTACATCAAAACAAAATTTGTCAATGAAGCCTTATTAGCCTTACCCTGGTAGAATTTTAGATCCAACTTTGTGGAATCAGCTGGTGGTTTCAATCAGATGTCGGGAGATTTTCCAAAGGATTTGTCTGCCAATGTACCTCTCAGAGTTACACAACTCTGTTGGCGACTGATCATTGGAGGGTATGTAAACTCAAATACGCAATAAATCTAAACCCATGAATCAATAAACTCATTCATTTAAGATGACCTAAATCTGTCACTATTTGGGCTTGTAAGGGATGTCGTTTGCTCCTTGAATGCCATTACACAGTACACTAAAATGTGTATTTCAGTATCATAGTGTAGGTTGTTTGGTAACAATGACAACCCAATGTCTATAACCAATACTAAAGTCACATGGTAACCATGACAACCCAATGTCTATAACTAATACTAAAGTCACATGATAACCATGACAACCCAATGTCTATAACCAATACTAAAGTCACATGGCAACCATGACAACCCAATGTATATAACCAATACTAAAGTCACATGGTAACCATGACAACCCAATGTCTATAACTAATACTAGATGCACATGGTACCCATGACAACGCACTGTCTATAACCAATACTAAAGTCACATGGTAACCATGACAACCCAATGTATATAACCAATACTAAAGTCACATGGTAACCATGACAACCCAATGTCTATAACCAATACTTAAGTCACATAGTTACCATGACAACCCAATGTCTATAACCAATACTTAAGTCACATAGTTACCATGACAACCCAATGTCTATAACCAATACTTAAGTCACATAGTTACCATGACAACCCAATGTCTATAACCAATACTTAAGTCACATAGTTACCATGACAACCCAATGTCTATAACCAATACTTAAGTCACATAGTTACCATGACAACCCAATGTCTATAACTTATACTAAAGTCACATGATAACCATGACAACTCACTGTCTATAACCAATACTTAAGTCACATAGTTACCATGACAACCCAATGTCTATAACCAATACATAAGTCACATAGTTACCATGACAACTCAATGTCTTTAATCAATACTTAAGTCACATGGTAACCATAAAAAAACATTTATTAATCAAAAATGACTTTCGTTCAACATACACCTTGGGACAAGTTCTCAGCAACTGACGCAAATAAAGGGCAACAAGTCTGATCAATTTTACCTTATATTAAAAACCCCACCTTTTACACATTAAATTAACATCAAGTTTATACAGATAGAAATCACCAATTATCCTCTAAACAAAGCCACAACAACGTTTACTACACCTTGTTCAGAACCATAACAACTAACATCTCCAAGTTGATTTGCAACATTGGGTCAAATTGGGTTTTCCTCAGAATCTGAACACTAAAAATTTATGCATACAAGTGTAATTTCTTTTCAGTCATTTTGCAAAATGCATTTAAAAGAAAAAACTCTTTTCATTTGCAACTTGCAGACATTTCATGACAATATATCTCGCTTTGTTTGACTGCATTGTTAAGGAAAACATACCTGAAAATGAAAATCTCTCTGTATGAATGTTCATTAATATAAATTTGTACAGGAAGGAGAGCTGAGGGCAAGAATTAGTCTTAATCACAAAACCATTCATTATATAATTACCCTCAATCTCTGACATTTAAACTTTTTTCAGAAAAAAAGTCATTAAACCATTAGTTGTAATTGGGATGGCACTGGCTGCTTTATTTGCTGAGCTGTTAAATACTGACATTCTAACAAACTCACTAAATCAACCTTCTGTTTGGCAAATCTCATGCAAAATGAAACAATTGAATCAAAATCAATTGTTTTAAGTTTGGGTGAAAAAAGAATTTGATGTCAATTATTGATTTAAAACGAATGAGACATTTGTCAGTGATATATTTAACATTTATTTATATTTAAGTCTATTTTAAGGAATCAAAGCCTTACATAGGGTACAAAATCCCTCGTGTGTACCGTCGCTGTTACCTTGTCAACACTTTGGTTACATGTCCCTTAAATAACTTCTTTCTTTACAAATGAACATTTAAACACAAATGTAAACATTCAAGTTTTCTCCAGAAGTTTTAGAAAGTCATTCGGCTGACGAAGATTTTCTATATATAGCAGACAGTTACATTTGCTGTTTGGCATCCTGAGACAAAAACTGATTGGAGGTATTCTGCATACTTGACAATTATGTGCATGGTTTGATAAAAATAGAAATGAAGTCATTAGCCCGATGACAAAGATTTTCTATAGATAGTAACATTGATCCCCTGAAATAGATACTTTTTGGAGGTACTCTAATACTTGACCATTGTATGATCGAAATCCATTAAGACACTTTGTCATTTATAAAGATGGAGAAAAAGTCTGCACCAGGTATGTACATATACATACAAAAGGAATGCTATATCCCTCCACAAATATGTCGGGAGGGGGATGATGATGCTGCTGAGGAGAGCCGCTATAGAGATGTTTGATATAACCACTCACAGGACAGGTCCCTCTAGTATAAGTATAATCTCATGTATTTGCATTTTGACAGTTTCTCTCACTGGGTCAACGAGCCCCAAAGGTTTGGAACAATTAAATGCTTCTTGGCAATTTGACTGATCACTTTCTTTGAATAGAAAGATTGTGTCCAGTCACAAACACTGATACGCTGTTAAAAAGGTTTTAAATGGAAGGGCGACACATGGAGAGAACGGTGGACTCCCTACGGAAGTCTGTGTAAGGATAATTTATGAAATCGACACCAGTTTGTCTCATTTCCATTCAGTGTCCAGTTTATTCTTCATAATAGGGTAAAGCCAACCAAGGCATTGCTAAAGAAGGATTTGTAGACTCTCATTCTTCACATGTATGTCCTGTTTAAACTTATGAGAAATGAAACAACTCCAAGCATGGAAGACACTCATTTTCAGTGAAAATGTCCAGTTACTAATGCATACAAACATGGGAAACTAAAACGTTGAGAACACTCATTCTCCATCAATGTGTCTATTATAGTATTCAAAGTCAAGCTTGACAAACTGAGTTTTATTCTCCATTAATGTGTCTACTACACAATGCCAATGCAAGCTTGACAAACTGAGTTTGAGAACATTCATTCTCCATCAATAGGTATATTTCATCTTCAAAGAAATGTAGTAGCACCAATCAAAGCATGGGAAACTACAGTCTTTGTTGAAACTCATTCTCCTACAATGTGTCCAGTATTCAAAGCTTAAGATGGTAAATTAAGGCATTTGGCGACGCTCATTTCCAACTGCTAGGCGGTTTACTTTTAAAAATAAAGCAACAGCAATACATACAAGTATGAGCAAGAAGTTACTCAAAATAAACCTAAGCAGACAATTGATGGATGCTGCACAGTGCCACAAGTTCACAGGAACATTAAACTGCCAGGTCAGCTAAAGACTAATTTAAAGGCGATTCTGAACACTGTGTTCAATTAAATTTTCATTGAAAGCTTATAGCATCAAGCATACAGCAAGGAAAAGTTTAAATTTATTCAAGGACTACAGCATCTAGCAAATGGAGAACCCTTGTTTTCATTTTTTGTATTTTTGGGGAGAGAGGAGGGGGTTGAAGTTTTAGTGGTTGGCTGCGTAATTTGGTAAACAATTTGGCAAAGTATCTCAGATTTTTTTTAACAAAGGCAAAGTCAAATGCTTTGTTCCTGAGAAATCAGGCAGTTCTCTATGACATTTCCTTGATAAGTTTCAGAACTTCTATGCTTTGCAAGATTAACTTCAAACTGTAATCTTCTCTTGTGTACCATGGTTCTTCAAATTGGTGAAAGATTTGGCCAAATATCTCAGAAATATTAAAACAATTTGAAACCAAGACACAATCAAAATGTCTCTGTTTCTGGAAAATTGGGCAGTCCTTATGTCTTTTTTAGATTTGTTTACAAAATTCTATGCTTTTCAAGATTAACTTTAAATTGTAATCTTCTGTGGTATTCCCAATGGTTAAAGTGCTGGCCTCTTGGTCGACAGATTTGAACCAGAAATACTGTCAAAGCAATTCTTCACTAAGAGACTGATCATATATATGTAACACAGAAACATGCTCTATTCCTTGTCGGCAGACGGCGCGTCATCTAATATCTTTCCTGTCGATCGACACAAGGTTTAAAGTCTGAGTCCCCCCAACGTTTTACAAGACCTAACTCGTAGAACGGATATACACGATTGGAGAATTCCCATAAGCCTACAGACGTGGAAATCCTCTAAGTTTAATGTGCCGTCACATCTTCCAGACAAAGTTTCAAAGTATTGGGGATCGGAAAAAGTATTGTGAGTGACAAGAGACATGACACTTGACGATTCAATAATCTTTGCTAACCCCCCAGACCCTGTGTATTTACACAATTCAAGAATTGTAGGGCCATGTATGTAGTCAGGCTTTCTTCCTAGACAAGTTCTTAACATTTCTGAATCAATAGAAAAATTGAGTTTGATTCCTGAAAGGGGAATTCATTTGATTACATTGTCTCCAAATCATGTATTTATGACAAATCTTTTCAGAACAAAGAAAAAACTTTTTTTTTTTTCCAATACCAAAAACTTAATAAAAAAAGTTGACAGAAAAGTTACTTATTTTCTGTACATTAATATTGTTTAAGATCTAGAACAATGATCCTAATTCCATTTCACTTACCAATAAAACAGGTGAAATATCTCAGCCAATACTTCCAATCACGATTAGAAAAAGATGATTTTTTTTTTAATACAACAGAATGGGAAGTTGGTTGTTCAATTAATTTCTCATCACTTTAAAATATTAACACTGAAAAAATGTGTCAGCATTAAAGAAAAAGAATATGACGCAACTTCCAATTGTCTGAACTACTACAGGCCTACAACTGGTAAAAAGAAGACTTCTTCAAAACATAGCCTGCTTAAGACCCAACTAGAAAAAACGGTGGATATCAGACAAACTCCTTTTGACAACAAACATGACAGTTAACAGTAGAATATTTCCTGTGCAGGCTCCTATTCATTTACTTGCCGATACATTTCTATTTGCCCTTGAATAAGCCGAAGTATTGTTAGAGAGACTTGAACCACAATATGCCCACAACATTATACATAACAAGCGCGGTAGAGCTTGCTACCCACCATCAGCCTGACTTAATGGTAGGCTATACCCAACACTAAAATGGATCACAGATGATGGCAGCACTGTTTACTGTATAATCACGTACAGTACCTAGAGGTACAGCGGAGACAAACATATATGTGTATGGCTTTCTGGTGCTTCAAATTTTGGTTTTACCACAAGAAAATCAATATATTAGACCAGAATAAAGGTGAATGATGGACCTCGTTAGGAACGTGATGAATGTCGTTAAGGACCACACACCCGTAACATATGGACACTGCTAAATTACAAATCCTGTTTTTATAATGACGCAATAACTGATGCTTTTGAAATGCATCATAGATAATTGTTTAATTTGTCATTTTCTACTTAATTAAGTCAAGCATTCTTCTCTGTAAAGCCTCATCAGTCTGCATAGTTTGGTTATAAAGAAATGATCAGTTTATCAAAACAGGCATAGCACCCTTTAATATCTTTCTGCAGCAGAATATTAGATATACACAATTTCCTCAGGATGTTATCTGACTTAATTGTAAAATGAGACATTTTTTTCAAAGATTTAAATTTATCAAACAAGACTTCAGTACCATAAACTTCATCTATAACAGGATGGGGAAAGTGGGAGGTAGAGGAGGGGTTGGTGATAGGATGGGGGTAGGGGTGGTCACATGAGGGGCTGGGGAGGGGGTT